TTTTGGCGGCATTTGGTATTTAAATTTTTTCTCACTCAAATTCAATCACAAAAGTTTTGTTTCATATGTTTTTTTGAAGTTCAGATTTCGGTCTTTCCAACGGAGAAACAATTAACCCTTTCGGATGTTTTGGGAGAAAGCAATAGTGGAAACAAAAAAGGAAAAAACTTTTGCATCACCCGTTAATTATCTGGCCAACTCGACTACAATATCAAGCAGGATTAACGGTCTCAGACGCTATGCGAAGAACATCCAGGAAGATACTTCAGGACCTTTCATGGTTGTCTACTGAACAAGTAGACAACCATTCGGTAACTTCACATAATAACCAAGATATTATACTGCCATAATTATTCGTAACAGACTCCTTTTGTTTAATATTTTTTAGATATTTATTTCTTTTCTGTATATAAAGAAATTTTCTCTACATGTATAATACGTGTAGGTTAATTCTAATCTGACTTATTTGTGGAAGAAAAAAAAGTCATTACACTGTTCATTGACGAACAAATAATGTGAAAATTAATTACCATAGCATTGAAGCGCTCAGACTAAAATACGACACAAATGAGATCGAAGACTTGACTATTAAGTAAGTATCTATAGTTGTTTAGCTTTACAAGAACGTTTCATATTAAATTTCGCTTTTATTCTGCAGAGAGACGCGAAGTAGCATAGATAAATCAAATTTTGAAGAGAATAGACTTATGGATTATTTTATAAGTGTAGTGTACGAATGATCTTCTAATTAAGGCTCCTGTATCATTCTCATTTCGTTTAATAGAGTGATCAGCAAAAGATAATAGACAAAGAGTTTAACGAAGAGTGAGACCATCGTTGTTTTAAATGCTAAAAATAACTTGTTCTTGGATATGATTTTTAGAATTGATCCAATAATTTGGCTGTGAAAAAAAAGTGAATGAATCTTCGACATTTGATTCAGACTACGTGTTTAAATTCATTTAGCGGATATCGTTTTTACGATAGTTTTATGGTTGAACTTAAATGGGAACATGAAGAAGGTAAAGTGATTGTCTACTGGTAGACGTACAGTCGTCTTCTTTAACTTCTACAACAACTGAAAAACGTCATTCATTTTGACACTTTGAAATGAATGAAAGCAATATCATCAAGATTTCTGTTTTACTTTCCCTATAGCAAACACACAGAATATATATAAGTAATAACTACCATGTAGGTAATTTTTACAGTAGTGCATATACAATAGTTAGCTTACAATCATTTCTTGAGATACCAACGTGTTTACTTCTTCTTAAAAGTGCTAACTGATTTTGCTCGTTTGGATGAGGTGTATGTTGTTCTGCTTTTGAACCATTCCATCATCATGCGCTGTTAAATTTCATAGTTCTTTATGACATTTAAAGGACAGCATGATGCGCAAAAGCTTTTAATGTGTTATTTGTGCTTCTTCTTCTAAATGATTATAAGAAATATAACATGTTCTAGTGTGAATCTCTCATTGTTCGCGGTCTTAACGAAAGGATATCGATGAATACATAGTAATAAATAAGTGGCAAAAGCTTTCGTAAAATGCAGATTATAACGCTTGAACATTTTCATAGTCTCAGTGTGATTATAAGATTCATAATCTGACTGAGATTGACTACAATACTTTTGTTATGCTGTGTATTTGATGTGGTTTTGTAATACTCTTGTGTGTAAGTTCACAATTTGTGTTTTTCATTGAAGTGTCCGATATAGTTCAAAGGTACTTAGAAGATCTGAACAAGATTTATTAGAAATTATGTTACAATCATCGAATAAATTATCGTTGTTTAACAACTGCGATAGTATAACGTATAAATTATACAGTTTAGTTCATTGATTGTAAGAGTAAGGGCACCGCTTTGCCAATGGGGGGCAATAGCCCCTCCCCCCCCCCCCCCCCCCCAAAAAAAAAGAATGACCATTTTCTAGTAAATTGGCTACAGCTCTATGCAAACAAATAAACCTACAGCAATTTTGCATTTCTAAGCATAATGATAACAGTCACTTTCAATATCTCTTAGCGGGTTAAACCCCATCCCGTGCTTATATGAAATCAAAACACAGACACACCTATCACTACGTAACTGCACTTGGTATTCTAAAGTAAAAAGAACGTTAACAAAATTAAATAACATTCTTTGATAACGGATGTCTCCCACGCATAGTTACATTGAACTAGTCATCACTACTAAAATAATAAGCCCGATATATAATAGATGGAATTACATTTATTAAACTTTTTAAAAATTAGTAAGAAATACTTCGTGTGCTGAAGAACGGAGGCTCCTCTCTATTTCTTTATTGGTAACAAAAAAAAGCAAATCAAATCAGAACCGATGAGAAAGTCATTTTAGTTCTTCTATTGTTCTTTGGTCTATTTTTTTTTTTCTATCATCGCCAACTAGTTTTTGTATAAGCATTGTGTTAATAGAAAAAACGAATGTCATCACTGATTAAAGCAAGCCTCTTAGTGATCTGTCACCCTGTCAATCATTTGTGTTTACTCTCATGAATCGTCCGAACTATACAGTACAAAGATCAACTTTCTAGAAAATGAATATAGAAACCATTTTATGATCTCAAAAATAAGAATTGAGAGAAAGTCAAGATGATTAGATATTAAATAAAAATTAATCCCCTCCAAAAAAGGTAGTAAAAAGAAATGTAAGCATTTCGATATTGCAAAAGTTTGAAGCTACGGTCATCAAATATCTTGATTTCTCCTTATAACTAGCTGCTGTTGTTATTAAATTAGAGTTTTTGTTATTGCTCAAAATTTGTCTTTCTCTTCTTACTTGTAGATGTCAGCGTAATCTGTTTTTCATCACACAGAATGGCTGAATCTTCTCGTGGTGCTGGAGGTAGTCGTACTCGCGTAGCAAAGACTTCTCGTCTACATAAATGTACAAAATATGTCAAACGTCGTTTACCATCATCGATTGCTTGGCTCATTCTAATTGTTCTTTCTGCACTTTACTTTGTGTTCATTTGTCCTTATATCACACAACATTTATCACTTGCCATACCCATTGTACAATCCATTTTACTACTTTTTGTTATTATAAACTTTTTACTTGCCACATTTATGGATCCTGGCAGATATGAAAGAGCAACACAAGACGAAAATGATCAAGACGAAGGAATATATTATAAAACAGGTTAATTTCTAAATTATCAGATAGTGAACGAGCATATCATTCAGTTAAATGATAAAAAACTTTTCATTGACAATATTAATATACATTTTAATATAAATAGATGTCTATTTGATAATGTTGTTGTTTCATCATATAAAAACAAAATAAGTATTTACTGCTAAAGTGAGAAAAAAAAGTAAACAAAGTTTAATTAGCGACTTTTCTACGAGCAAAATGTTTAGTTTTGTTTTCTTTTTCCTCTCTTTGACGGTACATTTTTATGCCAATATCTGATAAGAACAACTATCAACAGTACATTATTTATAACTTATTTTGTTTTTCTCGTTTTAGTTGAGATTCATGGCACAAATAGTCGAATGAAATGGTGTCAAACTTGTCAGTTCTATCGACCACCAAGATGTTCACATTGTTCTGTGTGTGATTATTGCATTGATGTAAGTTCTGTTCAAAATGTGATAGATAGGAGAAATTTGAAAAACAAAAACAGCACAGGTTTGTAAGGGAATGCAGACTGGATTACTTTTGTCTGTTTTTTCGATGTTGTCGGCATATCCTTCAGTGAACTGTGTGAATCATTGTGCTTTATGTGTGGTTAATAAATTATTCTTTACTCGAAATGATTTTTGAATTTATCGAAATATTAGATGATCATCATCTATATGAAAATGTGAAGAGTTTGATGACTATCATTTGATAGTTGTTCAATAAAAAGATCCAATTTTCTTTTATTGGTATTGCATGCAAATTGATCGTTAGGTTGCGTCTTTACTTTATCTTCAAAACTAAGTCTTATGTAATTAAGTCAGTCATCTTATGACAGATACATGATCCAGTTTGTCACGCGATTTTTAGTATTATGTTGAGAAATTGTCGCTCACTTTAATTTTACTTTTTGGATAATTAGACAGTAAAACATGGGTCCCATGAGGATTTTTTTCTTTTTGATGGAGAAAGTACGATATATTGTTGCGTGACACTGATCACAATAAAATATCATATCGTGATGTAAAATATCCATCGATTTATCGCAATGACTGGTCTTATCTTGCCATGTATTATGTTTATCGCGGTAGCGCTCTATGTGCATATGTAACATGTTCTTTCAATATTGTATGTAATCGCGATAGATTCAACATAGAGCACACATAGCGATGAATTGGTGGATATGTTACACCATGGTACGATATTTTATCGCGATCGGTGTCACACCGCAATATCTTTGGATCAAGTCTATCGGAGAGATCCACATGGGATATTTCTGTATATTAGCGTATTTTGTTTGTCGTATAAAAAAATAAACATTATAAGATACACGTAATGCAAACTTAAAGTGAAATTTATTTTTGGATATATTATACATATTCTGAATCGCCAGTCGACGCTGATTACGAATATCACCTTTTTAGCCTCGAGAAACCCTTTATTCGTTGAGAAAAATCGAAAATACTCGAAAAGTGCCAAAATTTTTCGTTTTGAGGAAAAGCTTTGGATTTTTTTGTTAAGAGGATCTACGAATTTTTGCTTATCGTTTTCAACTTCGTTATTGAAAACGGAGTTTAGACGACTTATGCGTGAGTCCATGTACAGATCTTTTGTAGATTCCGGAACCTGTTACACTCAAAATCCGTCCGTATTTCTCGATCAGAACTCAATTTGATGGTGGTCGAATCAAAGCTCTAGATCTTCACACAAAAAATTGGATAGATTTTTGACAAAGGCTCTCGGGTTTTGAGTGTAATCTTACAGTGCCTGAGAAAGCAAGCGGAGAGGAAATGCGCAATTTATCTGCGTACAGAGAAACTAAACATTCTCGCATCAATATAACATATTGAATAGGTTGTTTTCTTGTTCGAGACAAAACTTTGATAATTGAAGAATCTTTTTCTATTTATGTTACACTTTTATGTGCCTCTTCTAATAAGTAAAACTAAATATTGTACTAATAATTGTTTTATTTTTCCAGCAATTTGATCATCATTGCCCATGGTTAAATAATTGTGTTGGTCGTCGTAATTATCGTTATTTTTTTCAATTTTTATGTTATTGTATGTTGCACATGTTTACCGTGTTTAGCTTTACAATTTATTTCTTTATTGTTTACGGTCGATTCCATTTCACATCGTTATCGACTATCGTTTCACTCGTTCTTTTCACATTCATAATCTTACTCACCGTACCTATATGTGGTCTTACCGGTTTTCATATTGTTCTCATATGTCGTGGAAGAACAACAAATGAACAAGTGACAGGAAAATTTAAAAATCATTTGAATCCATTTGATGATGATTGTTGTACAAATTGGTTAAAAACATTTATTAGTTCAAATATACCCGAGTATGTAAACTAAACGTGTAAAAATAAAATTTTAGTGTAAATAACCGGTCGAACAGTTAACTGTTGTAACATGCTCGTCTCACCCACTCTTTTTGATTTTTCAAGTAAGATTAATGTCATTGATTTATGTCTAAACGAAATCTATTAGCTCATCCGAATCTGACAAAGATGAGATTTCCGTAGTTCAAATGAAAAATTTTCCCTTGTTTCTATCGTCATTTTTGAAGAAAAGAAATAAACTTTTTGTCGGGTACAAGTGCGGGTGTGGTTATTGAGGTATGCGTGCAAAAGACAACAGAAGTAACGTATGTTACCCACAGAATCTTTTTTTCATATTTATTGCATTATAATGCGTTAGGCATATCGTAATGCCTTGTAATGTGTTAGCTTTTCTATTGTGTTATAACGCGATAAATTTAGAAAAAACATGCCTTTAACGCATTAGCGTAACGCGTTATGTGCCAAAAAATTGAAATTATAGTGTTATAATACATTTTTATCAACGACTTTCTCATATTTTTATAATGTTACAACGCTATAAATTCGACTAACACACTAATAGTTACAAGACGTTACTAAATTCCTGTCGTATTATAACGCATTAATCTGTAACGCATTGCAACGCGTTATGCATGTTCTAACTCATTGTAAGGCTATAGAAGTTCTTCACACGTTTCAACGACATAAATTTATTGCATTACAATGCATTAACTGTTCAGACGCTGTAACGCTATACGTGATAGTGATAATAAGTGTGCTGTGGGAGTTTGTCCTAATTCTCAAGTCAGTAACGTATATGCCTGATATAGTTGAAGTAATGTTTCCCGGATCAACTTTTCGAGAGGAATCGATTGGCAGTCTCAGAATTTTATGCAAATGTGTCCTTTACGAGAAAACTATGTATTTTCGTTTTGGATATTGTCTAACTCGTTGTAACACATTAATACCTATCATCTTACACCGAGTTTCATTTTCTTATCTCATTGCAATGAGATAGAAAAGAATAATGCATTGTAATCTATTAGATATTAACTCGTTACAATACGATATGCATTATCTAATGGGTTATAACGCTATAAAAGATTTTTCCAAATTTATGCCATTATAATTAGATAAAATACCTAAGATATTATAACGCATTATATTGAAATAGAAAGCTCAAATGCTTCATAATACATTAGAATCTAACATATTATAAGGCGGTAGACAAATCTAATTGTGTTGTAACAAGATAAAAAATTGAAACGCATTATAATGTTGTAAATTTATAGAGTTGTAATGCAATGAAAATTTCTATCCACTTCCAACGCCATAAATTCCTGAAAAATAACTTTGCAACGCGTTATAACACGACAGGCTACGTCTATTGCGTTGTAATGAGATAAATTTATAGCGTTGTAATACCATAATTTAAGAATAAGCATGTTTTATAGCATTATAACGCTATAAATAGAGTAAAACAGCTCCTGTGGGTACAGAATCAAAAATTTGCGAAAAATTTTTGTACACATATCAAAATGATCATACTTACACTTGTACTCGAGAAAAAGTTTATTTATTTTTCTGCTACAAAATATTAGCGTAAAAATCCTTAAATAGAAAAATCGCGCCTTGCATTCGTTATGTATTCAAATATTTGTCTGTAGATGCTACTCTACACATTTTGTAAAGATTTCCAGAGAATCGTCTTAGGGAATTTGAATATCTTTCAAACGGTAGAAGCGAAATTTTAAACTCCTTAGATGATGAGTTAGTAGTGAATCTTTCGACGGGTTATTGAAGGTTACGATTATTATCGGTTATGCCTATACTTTTCACATTTTCTTAGAAAATAGATCTAAATATCTTTTATTAATAGATGAGACACAGTCAGTCATTCCTTCTTAAAAATTTGCCTATACTATTTAACTCAATTTGTTCTTGTTTCTTTCATTTTAGATTGAGGTATATTGTTAAAACAAAACCTCGATCTTCCGTGGTAACTCAACAAACAAAAAAATCTCGTTCAGCTGCCTATGATTCACGTTCAGATCATAATAAAAAAGTTCAACCACAAAAATTATATGTACCGCCAACATCGAACAATAATGGAAATGTTGTTACTAAAAATAAAGTGAGTTTCTCTTATTTATCTCAATAACACTCTGCAATAATTGACATTCACTTGAATTTATAGGGAGGAGTTTATAAACAAATAGCCATGACATCTGTTTGAGATAATGTCAGATATATGTTTTGTCTAATAAGATATCAGGTTACGTCGAAGGTAATTGTATGAGAGTCATATAGTGCTGTGCTTTTAATTAATATATTTACATTTGCTGTGCTATTTTATGCACATTTTTTAAATACTAAAATCAATGAATCGGTTTTTTACTGATTTTATTACTTTAAACACACACTCCATTTACAATGCTAAAAAACACATTATTAAAAAAAAAATAACGTCTTTTTCGTTTGACATAACGAGACATCGTTTTCTCATAGTAGTTTCCCCGATTTTTCAAAATTAATCGTTGCTTTATTATTTTATTTTGTGCAATTGTTGTTTAGTTGTTTTAATTTGTAGCTAGAACGCTTACACACTAACATAGCCGACTTATATTTTGCACTTTTTTTTAGTTTTTGATTAATCTGCTATCCTTTTGTTTTAATTATGTTTTTAATTTATTGTACTTAAAGATCAGTGATAATTGGCATATTCTCTCGAAATCAACGTGGAAATTGTATTTCAAAGGAAAAAGAGCAAAACTAATATTGAAATAATTTCATTATTTTTATAATGGTTTTGAGGTGTTTTATGATTTTATCCTCTGCACTATTTTTTCTTTTGTTGTTGAAAAACTGTCGATAGATCGCACAAGTGTTTTTGGGGGTGGGTGAGAGAATTCAGAACCATAACGCTATGGAGAGGAAACAGTAAAGTTATTTGTTCAAGTATTTTATAATGTTGTTTGTCTTTATTTCTGTAATCATTTTTGGACCATTTCTTGAAACTCAACTGAAAACATGATTCTGAAAATGTGTTTAACAAAACGACACATCTCAGAGCTCTGTAGGATTCTTGATTAAGGAAGTATTGCGAAGATATTCAATACGCTCCTTGAAAATTTTCATTTTTCAAAAGTGTATGTCTTTGTGTTGTTGATGTACTTCTATAAGAGAATCCTAGCGAGTTCTAAGATATGTTATTTTTGTATCCTGCACAAAATGAGGCAATCGCAAACTCCTGGATGTCCTATCGTTCGAAAGGTATAAAGGCTAGAAAATAGGCGTTTTCAAACGAGTTACTTGAAATGATTCTTCTATTAATTAAATCTGGTATTTATTTTCTCTTGAAATGATTTGTTTGTGTTACAGCTTCATCTTCCCTATTGACCTGCTATAAAAACTATTGATCGAATATTTTTAAATAAAAAAATTGTCCTATTAATTCTTTTTCTCTCCTTTAGTCAATCACAACATTTCATCATCCTCATTCACTTGGTTTGAGTAATGGTCACTGTCATAATCATCATCATCCACAACGTCAATCTACTTCCACTAATCGTCGTTCTTCCACTCATCATCACCATAATCGTACTCGCAAACCTCAACGTCACAATTATTATTCAACACGTCTATTGGATAGTAGTCCGGTAATGAGTGGTCTATCTACGACTGGTAATTTTAAAACGATGCAGATACCATCAAGTGCTATCGATATTCCAACAGTTATGTATTATCCACTACCGTTGATGAAACTTCTGCAAAATGAAGAACAAGTAGCACAACCCCATAGTAAAGAACAGATACTTTCACCCACCAATTATTATTCGACAAAAAATGGTCAACATCGTATTGATTCAAGTAGAATGATGAGTGGAGGTGAACATACAAAAACGGAATTGAAATTTAAAGTGTAAGATAAATGAATAGACAATGGGGGCACTCAGCGATGAAAAATTATTCTCAATTATCTGTTTTTGTTTCTTATATTTTGAATGGGTATGTGCGCGTGTGTGTGTATGTGTGTGCGTGTAGTAAATATAAATTATTTTTGTTCAATTTATTGTTGTTTTTTTTTGATAACAAAAGATAAACGAAAGAAATAAAAAAATCAAATTTCTATCATATTTGTAAGGTGTAACATTTTACAGATGTTGTTTTATTTGATATGATTGAAATTCATGTATACTTTAACTATTAGAAGGTCACTCGTACACCAACAAGAAATCATAATTTTCCTCCAAAATGTCGCTATTATTTAGATTTTTTTTTCCAATATTTTTCTGATTTATACTGCCTAATTTGAACACTGTTGACTTACGCAAGAGGGATTTCAGTTCTTCTGATTTTTGGAACTTTTTTACTCTACAGTCTACTGATTTTCTACTTCTTTTTCTGCGTTTTTTCTGATTTTCTTGTTTTGGGTCTGATATCCCTGTTACTAGTGGCTAGTTATGTTATCATCGCTATTGCTATGTTGTACAAGGTAGCGATGATGACATACAAACATCAAAATCACTTGAAGAAACGTTAGATGTGCAAGAAATGTTTATCGAACCTTCATATGAAAGTGAAGTATCTTTATCGTACCATTCACATCAAGGACGTCAATATCAAAGTAAATTAATCGTTTGAAGTCTTAAATGTATCATTGGGTAGAGAAATAATGATAACGGTAAAGAATAATTGAAATGATTACACATTTCAACACTTGCATAAGATACAATCAATTATCATCTAGTTTGAAGTAGAATAAAATTTATAGACTTATATTTGCAAAATAACTTAAGCGTATGTTAAAATATTCGTAAAGAAGTAAATTCACTTTATATATCCAAGGTAATTCTGAAACTCATCATATGAACATTATATGTTCTGGTCGGTTTCTAGAAGTGTTGCTGTTTCTATGGCTCTTAGTGTTGTCAGCATATATAGTTTTCTGTAATTAATTAACTTCTATTTGATGTTTTTAGAAAATAACGTTAGGCTAGGATAGGCGACCATTTCAGAACATTAAATTATCATGCCATTTATCTTTGAAAAAGAATTGGATCAGTGCACGATGGTTTATGTTTTGTTCCTAAGTGAATAAAATTTTGAACTATAACAGAAAATCTGAACTTTTTAACTTTTTCTTTCGTCAATCGTATTAAAACTTGTTTAGCAACTTTGAAAAACGTTTACACATAGGTAAATCGATGAGCTCTACGTACTATGATGAAGTGAATGTTGATGACTGTCCGTTTGATCTTGAGAGAAAATAAATAAATAAAAGCAGATAGATACACTCGATATATACAGCTCAAATTTTTCGTTTATTTTATCAATATCTGTACACAAGACTGATCTTGCACTTTGTTCAATGACATTTTATTGTCTTCCATCAGAATATCATCAGATGAAAAATATTTACTACATACTTTTTCAAATCAATATCTAGGTTATCAATATCTAGTCCCAATAAATCACACGATTATTGCAATAGTAACAGTCGGCAGTTTGGAAAATAAAACTTTTTCCACATCCTCCCATTTTTTGTATGGACCACCACAGCACAAACGTCGATCATTTTTAGAATTATGTACGAAAACTACATAAAAACGTCTTCAGTATTTCTATATTATGAATTCATCACAGATATCAATAAGGGATACAGTGTTATTCAAAATTATTGAATCACCTACTACATGGAACTTTAACTACGGACGACCTGTTATTTGAATATGTTTCAAAATGAAATCCATAGAATTGAGTGTGTTCTTTTAGAAATATAGTCGAAAGTTTATTGGCTGTTGGACAAAAAAAAAGTTTTAACAACAAGTTCAGATTTTTTTCTCTTCAAAATTATAGAATTACCCCACTTTTTCCTTTTCCGAGTGAGTTTAACTCACTTCTAGCAGCACTAGTAGAAAAAGCATGAAAAGCTGAGTATAATCGATATACTCTAATTGACATTGAAAGACAAACAAAAACGTTTTCTTATTAATAATATTAGAGAAGTTAGATCTACAAAACGAGATGTCTCGCAGTTCTCTAGCATGTAGAATAAACGAGTTAGTCACGGGTGTAAGATAGAGGTCACTTTTTTCCACGATAGAACCACTCAAATATGGCATAATTTTTCTTTTTGATTATGTGACCATAGCTAACTCGTTTATTCTACATGCCAGAGGACTGCGGAACGTCTCTTTTTGTAGATCTAACTCTGCTCTCTAATACTATGAAGAAGAAAACGGTTTTGTTTGTCTTTCTCACTGGTTTTTGAGCACTTTAAAACTTATATCCAAGAAGTGCTATAGAAAATCGATTCCCCAAATTCACTGAAGAACTATGCCAATGATAATTAATAGTAACAAAGAAAAAAAGTGGGGTGATTCTATAATTTTGAACAGCACTGTAGATTTCAAATCACTCGATTGATAACGTTTTGCTAAAATAATTCGTGGGCTCACGTCAGAGTACTTGACTATTCATGTGCGTCAATGTCCACAAAATATTCACCACAACTTGAGAAGCAACATACGTAATCGAGTGAAAGCGACGGGCATAAACAATCAAGATTTCGTCACAATCACAACTAGGGAATGGAATGAGACAGTGAAATCATCGATAGAGAAAATATAAAACAAATTAGTCACTTTGCTGTATATCACCTGTAACACCATGCCACACATCACGTTGTGCTTTTATATGTAATAATATAAATTCCACATTATTGAACAAAGTTTTGTAGCGGAGTTTTTTGAAAACTTCCTAGAAACTATTTTATTTTATTTTCGATCATTGTCAAAATTCTACAGTTGTTCAATTTTTCGAACTCTATCCAATGGCTGTAAAAAAATAATTTAGTTCTTTGTTGAAACAAGAGTTTATAAATTTAAAAAAAGGTTAATTCAATGTTTTTAAGATTTAATTAAAAATCAAAAAAGCATGGAATTTGAAATTTTTTTAAAAAAATGATCTTTGCACACTTTTAAAGACGATGAGTCAATTAAAAGTTTTGGTTTTTTTCAAATCAATTAATTTTTGATTATTGTTCTTTGGTATTGAAAGCATCTATTTTTAGCAAAAACGATTCGGCCATCTTCAATATATAGTTTTCTCACACAATACGATTATTGCAAGCATTTCGACATTATGACATTCCGAACGAAGACGCAACGGCTAAATTTGTGTCCTATACCATGAAAAAAGAATGATCACATCGTAAACCATACGTTTTAAGAATCTTGATCAAATCGTGTAATGATAAAGAGTATACCATTCCAAAAAGCATTCACAGCAAAGTTTGTTTTCTAAATGAATCTGAGTAAAAATATTTATTTATATTTTACTTATTATTTTAAATACGATCTCTCAGTTTAAATGAAAAACCTCTAATGTCTACCATTTGTTTACATAAAGAGTTCTGTACATATTAAACATATGTTTGTTCATCTTCAAAGTTCTGCAAAAATACACGACTCGATCTCATTTGTCTATCCAAATCGATGAGATATGTAAGTAAATTCTTGAATAATGGTCCAATTTCAATGATCTGATTTACTTGTTGATAGGCATACTGATATTCGCAACCATATCTATTCATTAAATATTGAATACCAATACTACCGACGAGATACGGGGCAAAATTACAGCCATAAATGAGAACATTTTTGTTATTTAGTTTTGCTTTTGTTATGAAATTGTTTATTTCTGTGAATAGTTGTAATAAGTCCGTCTTTTTCTCATCATAATCGACAGTTAAAACCGTTTTTGAATGTGTTCCTTGTCTTCCACCACACTTACACTCTAATTCGTAGCCTTTACCACGTGTCAGTTCGGGTGGTTGATTTGATGAGTCAATGAAATATTCGATGGATAATTTACAAAGTTCAATTTCATTATGAAATGCAGCCAATGTACCCAAATAGACGTTGTCTCTCAAATGAACAATACTTAATCGTCCACTATTAGCACCACACTGTGATTCGAATCGAGGTAAAAGTGATTGATGTCTGACGATAGCACCCAAATGACTGTAAGTTGAACTGCGATTCACTTGATAGTAGGAAGATGAATGAAAATAATTACCTGAAACAAACAATAAAATCTGATGAATTTATTATTTATTTTTAAGATATGTGCAGTGTTGGATTATACATCACACGTTTGTATCTTCATTATCTTTCTTTTGTTTTCTAAATATAAATTTTCGATTTAGAGCAAGTCGTTCAGTGAAACAGAGTATATCCCACTACCAATACTGTTTCCTGAAAGACCTTTAAGCTGTAATGGATTTCCTCCGTTTTGCCCCGCTTAGAAGTGGGCTTAAAATACACCAAAATGTTCTTCTACATGTCAGCTATGCTGCATGCAACTTTATGTAACTACTTTCCTAGACTTGGATATGGATTTTCCAAAAAGAAAATCTGCTGTTTTCGGTAAAATGCGTTTTTCTCAGCCCACAAACATTTGTATAAAAAAAAGTAATGTGATATTTAGAATCAGCGCATAACGACTACATCGAATGACGTATAACTTGTTCATTTTCTGAATACAAAATTTTTCGAAAAATTTAGGGTAAGAGTTCTTCTCAGGAATTTTTTGTCTAAAAGCATTTTTTTCCGAATTCGAGTTTTTTATTTTATAATAACATTTCAAACGTAATGAAGTAGTATTGTGCAAAAATAGTCTCTTTCTGAATCAAAAAAATCGCATGTCCGCCTGGTCTATAGCAAAATGTCCACTATGTAGTGTGAATCTGAAAATTATAGGGTTAAAACAATTTTAAGAACTACTAGGAAACGTCAAAATAAGTTAATGTTCTCGTTGCACTAGTGTTTTATTCTGAAAATCACTTCTCAATTCAGATGCCTTACAATGCGCCACAGATGCATGTTTTCGAAAAGGTTTCCCATGTCGTTAACATCGCTCTATTCTGGACGATTCCTTGCGATTAACAATAAACTCGCCAATTATTCGCACTTCTGACTATAATCGTCCATAAATTGCGATATATCAACTGGCGACTAATCGGCTTGCATGAAAAGTTGCCAGTTGTTAAAAATCGCCGATATATCGCCATTCTTAAAGATCCTGGTGATTTTTCTATTTTTTTAATAATGGTCAATTAATTGCGATGAATTGTTGATTTTAAGCTATTCATTGCTGGCTTTTTGTTATTCACTATTTTATTCTGCAGTAGAGTAAGTATATAAGAAACATGATTTCAACAAGAAATGTTCTTCTTTTCAGATTATCTTTTAGTTTAGTTTAAAACGAAGTTGCCAAGGATGTTCTCTGTAGTTTCCTCAGAGCTGACTCATTGTTTCGATTTGAGTCAGCTTTGAACCGAGGAGCCCAATGAACTGTTAAACTAAAAACTCGCCAATTAATTGCTATTAATCGCTAAAAAATCGTCGATTTATGGCCGATTTTGACTACATGGATTTTCCTAAGACAAGAATATGATATGTGTAAGATGTCATGAATGCATTGTTTTCTTTTCGGGCAAAACCGCAGTCTTAAGAAAATCTCCTAACCATATTTCGATATTTTCTGAAATAAAAATTTCAGCGAGACCAGATGTGTAGTTGTCAGATATAGTTCGGACAAGGACAGGATGCCAGTGAGTAAGACTAGCAACTCCATTATCACAGCTTTTCAACCGTTTACTTAGACGAAAATAAGAGAACTAAAACAGTTAGAAGATTTTAAACGTGAGAGAAACGTGACTTTCTAGTACAATCACTTGTTTAGATATGTTTCTATAATAACTCAGGTTACAAGAGGCTCGCTTGAGCAAATTTTTTCCTGTGCTTTGCCTAGTACTTTGCCCACTTCCACAAAAATTTTCTACTCGATACGTCCTT